TCGGGGGGCTACTGTATTACACATAAAACTGTTAAGAACATTTGGAGACAAGTCTTTGTGTGAACATCAGTTTTTATTTCTTTTGTGGAGGGACAGGATTACTGGGTCCTGTGGTCGGTGTATGTTTAACTTCTTAAGAAACTGTCAAATTTCCAAAGTGGCTGAACCCATTTTTTCGTCCCTACTGGCAATTCCTATTACTGTTTCAGTGGCGTTAAATGCTCACCAATACTTGGTATTGTCAGTTGTCAGGATTTTATACTCTCAGCATATAGATCTTGTACATATTTTGTTAGACTTTTATCTGATTCACGTTTTGGGGTGCTATTATAAATGCTGCTGTCTCAAAAAATCTCCAGTTGTTCACTGCACAGAAATAAAACCAATTTCTGTATGTGAACTGTGTATCCTTCAGTTCTGCTAAACTCAGCTGTTAGGTATTTTTTGAAGAGTCCTTAGGGTTTTCCTATCTAGTTGAACTTGTCCTTGTTGAAAAAAGATAGTTTTACCCTTTCTTTCCCAATCTAAAGATTCTCCTTTTTCTTGCCTAGTTGCACTGTCTGGGACCTCATATAGGATGGTGGGTGAAGGAAAGTGACGAGCATATTGCCAGTTTCCTAGTTTGATCACGGAGCTGTGGTTGTGTAACAGAATGAAGGGAACACAGCAACACTAATTCCAGTTTGGCAACTTCTTTGTGGCTTAAAATGATTTCAAAATAAAAAGTTAAGTGGTAGGGAAAAAAAGTGGTAAATATTGACATCCTTGCCTTGTTCCCAGCCTTCAAAGGAAAGTCTTTTGCCGTGAAGTATTATGTTAGCTAAAGGTTTTTTTCACAGACACCCTTTACCAGCTTAAAGAAGTTCCTTTTATTTCTAGTTTGCAAAGAGGTTTTTTTTTTTTCCCCCCGCTTGTATTTATTATTTAAAAAATATTTAAATTATTAAGAAAATTCATTTTTATTATTACAAATGTTCAGAAAATATATTCTGTGTTTAACAAATACTTTTTTTTTGGCCACACACCATGCCCGATCTTAGTTCTGAAACCAGGGATTGAACCCATGTCCCTGTAGTAGAAGCCTGGAGTCAACCACTGGACCACCAGGTAAGTCTCTCTTTGCTTTTAAATCATCAGTGTGTATTGGATTCCATCAGATTTTTTTTCTCTGTCTTTTGAGATTATCATACGGTTTTACCTTCTTCATCTGTTAAATATGGTGGATTATGTGGATTTTAGAATATTAAACCAACCCTGCGTTCCTGGAATAAATCATAGTTTGTCATGAAGTGTTGTCCATTTTACATGACATTGTATTCAACTGGCTAAATTTCTGTCAAGGATTTTTGCTTCTATGTTCATGAGGGTTTGTATTTTTCTTCTCTTGTATTTGTCTGGTTTTGGTATCAGGGCATTGATGCCCTCACAGAATGAATTGAGGGTGTTCCCAGGTCCCAAAATTATGGAAGATTTTGTGTTGGCTCCTCACGACTTCTTCCTTAAATGTCTAAGACACAATGTACCAATAAAATAATTTGGCCTTGGAATTTTCTTTGTGTGAAGGTATTTTATTTTTGCTTTACCCAAATCTATTAATGGTTTTATTAAGGTATAATTTACCAGTTTGAAGTGCACAAAGAAGACAGGATTAACATTTGGAAAGAAATTAATCTCATTTTCTTTCACCTAGTTCTGAGATGACTTTTTGGAATTTCTTTTTTGCTAATGAATTGGAGAAGGAAATGGCAACCCATTCCAGTATTCTTGCCTGGAGAATCCCATGGACAGAGGAATCTGGTGGGCTATGTCTATGGGGTCACAAAGAGTCGGACACGACTGAGCGACTAACACTAATGAGTTGCAAGCATGAGTGCTAGGCAGGCGCAAGTTACTTGGAGCCCAGAGTATCGCAGCTGCTTAAGACACAGTCAAGAGCCGATTTTCTGTGCCTTCCTCCTCCATGTGCAGTTGCTCACCCTGTCCCCCTCCTTGCTCGATGTGCTCTGGCCCCCCACCTCCCATCCTGGGACTGTTCTCATGAGGATCGCTTCCTCAATGCTGGGCCCCTGGAAACACTCGACCTCCTTACTTGACGCCTGCAGGGTTTTGATGGTTGGCTCTCCTCCCTGGCTGTCTTGGTCAGGCTTGCAGCAGGTGGCCCTGGATTGGGATACTCTAAGGAAGCGTTAAAGACGGGGGAGCTATTTACAAGGTGTGAGTGAGCAGGTGCAGCTGGTATCTGGAGTTCTGGCCACTCCCAGGCCAGAAGTAGTTCCTGGAGATGGTGCAGGAGGTAGGCAGCCCTGGGAGGGAGTCAGGGCCTCCCAGCTTGCCCCACTGCTTCCTGCTGGCCGGGGGTCAGTCCCAGAGTGTCCTGATGAGGCGCAGAGACTCACTTGGGTCAGCCTCTGGGGAGGCCAAAGATGGGGAAGGGATGAAGGAGGATGGGCGCCCTGACCCACACCTGCCTCCTTCCAGGTTCCTGAGGCTTCCTCTCAGGGCCCCCGTGTCCTCCAGAATGATCCAGTTGGTTCCTGCAGGCTCATCAGACACCTAATGACATTTGGACCAGTTGAGACCCTTGCTGGAGCCCACCTCACTACCAATCTTCTAGTAGCCTCCAAGAAAATGGATAAGTAGATGCTAATCTGTATGAACTCATATATTGTTCATGACAACTCTGTGAAGTAGCTCCATTATTGCTGTCCTTTCACGAGCGAGGAAATAGCAGCAGAGAGGTTAGCTGATCCAACCACGGTCACACAGTTGCAAAGTGTCAGAGCCAGGACTGGAACCTGGAGTGGAACCAGAACCTATATTCTTTATCAGTCTGACCAAAACAGCGTCTTCAGGCTTAGGGACAAGCTGGACTGGCTGATCTGGTTTCCATAAAGGCTTCTAGTCCACAAAGGTCCACGGTCCCAATCCCATGAGCTCCCATGTCACCCCGGCCATCCTGCATCAAGAATGCTTCTGGCTCCTTCCTTGCCAGGATCCCTCTACATCCCCACAGGAAGTGCACCCTTCTCTGAGCCCCAGTGTGAACTGGCTCTCATATCCCCTGGGGCAGTGCCAAAAGCCATCACAGACTGGGAGACAAAGAGAATTCACTTTATTGTTTACAAAACAATGGTTCCAGTAGGAAGGAACACAATCATTATGCTTACAGCAGTGAATGGGGTGGGGGTGGGGGTAAAGTCTAGCTTTAAAATACTTGAAAATCACTGACTGTGTGAAAATGGAGCTTCTGGGCACCTGGGTCTTAGATCTCAACCCACTGACTATCCCTAGTCCTCCAACCTTCCTAATTTCATCTCTGGTACTTTTAATATCACACAGCCCTGAATGTCGTGGATATTTATCAAGGAGGTGGGTCAGGGAGCCCAGGTAAGCAAAGTCAGAAAAGACTTGGGCCTTCAGACTGTGTACAGTGGGAGCTGAGTTCTAGAGAGACATGTCTGTTCAAAACCCTGTTTTCTGTTCTTCTGCTACTCGTTTTATAGTGGAAGAAACAACCAGAGCAGGAATGAGGGATCCTTCCTGGGTCCCCTCCAAGCATTTGTATTAAAATTCCAAAGTGGGAAAAGTCTATGAGAAGGGGGTTCACAAGGCAACAGCCAGAGCCTAAAACACGGCGCTTCCCGGCCATCGCAAACCCTACATTCTCCGGAGAGGTGAGGTAGCTTCTGTGCGAGGGGCACCATGGGCTGATGGTGATGGCCCTTCTAGGCTGTGGTTCTGGCTGACCTGTGTCTGAAACCCTCCACCTTTACCCTGGGGTATGGAGAAGAGACCACAGGGACTAAGGCATGCCAAAGTTTCTGTGACATTTCTACAAAGAAAAGGCTGCAGAACTCCCACAGGGAAGTGGAGAAATAAAAGGCCAGGGCAGAAACTGCTGGACCAGGCAGGCCTTGTCCACAAACTCCAGGGTAAGGGAGCCCCAGCGTCGGGGGCCAGGTGCAGGCTTGCCAGAACCTGGGGCCCCTCTTGACTCAGGAATTACACATTCAAGTCATTCACGGAAGTCTTTCAAGGAATGGCAATTTCTGATAATTGCCAGAAAAAGGTATTGTATCCTTATCATTGTATCCTTTGGCCAAGGACTTAGAAATGCTTGAAAACTTGCCTTACCAACTGTAACTTCTTAATTACCCTTTTCTTCACTGCTGGGAATGAATTTCTTAAATACAGGACTTTGCTCTTGATAAGATTTGCCGATTCCATTTTATAAGAAAGGAAACTTAATTAATATATAAGCTAATAATTAAAACTTCAAAGTGCTACGCACACATAGAATTTTCCTGAAGACAGAATACAAGGCCAGTCCCTTGAATGGAGAAGTTTGACGTGGGGGTAGACGGTGGGCCTGTGTCCTCTCTTGTGGCACTTTGAGCAGACGTGTTCCTGGAGGCCTGACCTTGCTCTCACAGCCCTGTGAGGTCCTGGAGTATAAACAGGTTCTTTTCCAGGGGCCTGGAGGGGTGAATTTAATGCCTGAGGTTCACAAGGAAGAGGTGAGGGGTGGCCCAGGAGCACCAAGCTGTCAGCCCCACTTCAGACTCACTGCTGGGTTCCCAGAGAGGGCACAGTGCTGGACACACAGTAGGAGCTCAAGAAATATTTATTGAACAGAAGAAGAAATGGAGAGAAAAGAAAAGGTCAGATGGAAGAAAGGGCCGAATCAAGATGCCTGCAATGACTAGCTTCAACCACCAGGTGGCAGCGCAGGGAAATGTCCAGCCTGTAGTTCTGGGATACCCCACCACCCCGCCACTTCCGTTCCCCTCTGAGAAGCCACATCTCAGGCTGGGACTGAGCTCCCAATTCTGGAAATTTCTAAACCAGGCACACACCTCAAGAGTTCAAAAAAAAAAAAAAGAAAGATAAACTAATCACATGAAAGTGCAGTCCTTGGGTTTTTTAATAAAACTTGAGTCCTGACGTAGCTTAAAACTGTCCACCCCTCGGCCTTGCTCGTCATCTTGACTTTTCCCAGTTCAGATGAACTCTATGCCCTCATACTTCACACTGCCGATCTTGGTCTCGGGCAGGAGGAAGCGTCCGTCCAGCGTGAAGGCCATGATGTAGGTGGCGAGCTGGCCGCCGTCTTCCTCGGACTTGAGGGCCACGATGATCTGGTCGTCGGTGCTGGGGATGAACTTGAAGGAGGAGAAGCCGTGGGTGGGGACCACCGCCCCCACGCGCCGCACGGTGATGTCCCCAAAGTCCTGCGCGGCGCTCAGCAGCAGGTTGGCGCCGCGACGCTCGTCGTCCCTCTCGCTGTAGCGCTCATGGCTGGCGCGGCGCGGCAGGAAGAACCAGCGCTGCAGCGTGTCGCTCCAGCAGGCGGACTCGTGGATGAGGTAGCCTGGGGACACACAGACCGGTCACAGCCCGCCTGACCCGGGCCCAGGGCGGCCTTGCCCCGCACGCAGACCCGCGAGCGGCCCGCAGCCTGAGCAGCACCGCTGTCCGTCTTGTCTTTGGCTGTCTATCTGTCCAGAGTGGCTGAACCCAGCAGGACAGAGCCCGCGGGGCCGCAGGAGCCTCTGCTGGGCCGCCTCTCTGGCCGCCCTCCCCCGCTGGCTCCCCCAGCACTGCTGAGTAGCTATGGCCACAAGGTCTGTCAGTATTTCACCTCCTTGGTGCTCCTCTCAGGGCACAGAGGAGAGCGCTTCCGGGAGTGGCACAAGTAACACCACGTCTGACCTGAGAATGAGGATCAGGGCGGGTAGGAGAGGCTGCCTTGCAAGCAAAAAGGATGGAAGTCCGCCTATCAGGAGGTGAAGCTGTGACCTCAGTCACGTGTCCAAGCCCGCTCCAAGTACCGCCCCTCCCTACTAAAAACCATAACTTCCAGAAATGAGGGCAAAGAAGCAAAGTTTGTACCTGCTCCCACCACTACGTCAGGGGCAAGGCCCGGCCTCGGGGCGGCCCCCAGGAGGACACTGTGGACGGGGCTACTGTCTGAGCCTGCCGAGTGAGCCTGGGTGAAAGCAAAAATGGCTCACTGGCCCCAGAACCTAGAGGCCTGGTGGGAGCAACCGTCACAGACAGTCGAATGGTCTAACAGGCAAGCTCGCGGTGCCCATCCATGGCCTGGCTCTCACCTGGCGGCCGAATCCCTGCAGCGGCCCGCAGGGCGTTGTAGCTGGACACCCAGTTCTCGTGGTCCACGCTGCCTCTGCAGCCCACCACCTTCACCCACTCCGGGTTCTCATTCAGCACCTCCCCCGTGGCGGTGGTCCACTCCTTGCCCAGGCCGCCCACATACAGATGCTCATCCTTCACGGCCAGCCACTCGGCTTTGAAGCCTGGGGACAGGGAGACGGGGGCGGGGCTGAGGCAAGGGCCAGCCCTCTGCTGGCCTGGCCCATGGGCCCAGTCAGGCCAGAGCAGAGAACCCTCTGGGCCCAGCAGCTTTAGGTGGCAGAGGTCACTCACGTTGGACTCAACTTGGGGCGACAAGAGAACAGGGGATGGACCAGCTGGCTTGCAGCTCCACCCGAGGGTGGGCAGTTGGGCCCCTCTCCTTAGAGCAGATACCATGGCATTCACGCGGGGCAGGCGGGCACCACCTCTGCCTTCTGTCTCCTCTCCCTGCCCTCCAGCATCTTCCTCCCAAACTCACCCCAGGAACCCTGCTGGACCCCTCATGTAACCCACGTGAACCCACCAGTGGAGTGGCCTAGTCCTCCCCCCGGCCAGAAAAGTGGCCCTCCACTCAGCGTCTGCAGACCCCAACCTCCTCGTTTCTCCAGCTGTCATGTCAGCCCCACCTCAGACTACGCCCGACCCTGGGAAAGTGCAGAAAGTGCTGACCACACAGCCACACCCCCGAGGGATTTTTGTGCCAGCGGCCAGAGTTGAGTGGGGCTCAGCACAGATGCTCACAGCAGCCATGCCAATCAGTGTGTTTCTTAGATGGATTTACTTACCATAAGTCTAGTTTTGAAGGCTGTGTGGGCACTTTGTTCTAGTGTATTCTCACCTGTTCCTTCACCATGTTTTAATCTGTGCTTGTTCCCAAATGTTCTGCAAACTTCCGGCTGGCCCAAGGAGCTGTGGCAACAACCCTCACCCCGGGATGCTTCTCTGCAGGTGGCTCTGGGGGCCCCACTAACTTCCTGTGGTTCCCTCCAGGTGACCAACAACCAGGCAACCCCAAGCTCCCTCTATCCTGCTATCCTCCAGATCCAAGGGGCAAGCAGAACTGCTGGATGGTGCTGGACACGCGCAGCCGGCCTGAGGCAGGAAGCGGGCAACCGAAGTTTTCAATAGAACGGTGGCTGAGACAGAGTCCTTTCAACCTGCCCAGCCACGGGCAAAGTCGGGACAGATTTTTATCACTTCGAGGGAAGGGGGGCCTGGCAGCCAGCCCAGGGCCCAGTGAATTAATGCAATTCCTCCTTCGACCCCAGGTGCCGCAGTGGAGCCTGGCTTTCCAGTAGGTGCAGATCCAGCCACATGCACGGAAGCCGCTGTCAACTCTCCCGCTGCCCCACGTGAAGGTCTGGGCATGCAGGCTCCCTCCCACAGCTCTGCTACTCGCCTGCCGGCGTGGGGCACAGCCAATGCCAGAGGTCGAATTCCACTCCAGGTCGGGGTTGGGGGCACAGCTGCTCACACTCAGACCCTCCCCCTGCTGGGTTTTCAGAAAGGAGCAGTCTGCTTTTTAACAAAGTCTCAGTTCAGAAAGAGCAAACCTGATGCCCCAGCTTTAAAGCTGAGGCACATGGAGGGCACAGTCCCAGCACGCACTCCAGACACTGATAACGGCTGAGGACGCAGAAAGGGGCTGTCCCCGAGGGCAGGGCGCAGCGCTCCTCTGGGAGAGACCCCGCTTCCCCGCCAGCCCCCAGCAGAAGCTCACACTCCTGGACGTGGCAGAGTCCAGGAAGTCCAGGACTCTGCTCAGGGTGTGGGGGCCGCAGGTCAGAGGCGGGGGAGACAAGACCTCCCCGACGTCCCCTCCCTCTGGGCCTGTGACTGCTTCACTGCGCACAGGTGGAGAACCAGCCGGCTGGCCTGTCCTCCAGCACCGCAGCGAGCCCGGGGACAGACGGCTGACCTACCTTTCCCCACGGTGCCGTCACCGTCGGACAGGATGACCCAGGGCACGGCCCTGGAGCCGTCGATCTGGTAGACCACGCCTGTCCGGTCGTCCACGGAGTAGAGCTTCCCGTTGAAGACGATCAGATCTGACAGCTCCATGCCTCGCCCCTTTTCCGCCAGGTGGGACTCCAAGACCTCATGGCCTTGGTCCCACTCCACAGCCACCCGGTCCCCGCTGTCTGACAGGGTCAGGTGACCCTTCTTCAGGTAACTGACCCAGGTGTTCTCCTCCTGGGTCCTGGACTTTGTGTCCAGGTCGGCGATAACGGCGATCCGGTATCGTGTCCCGCCCGGTGTCCTCTGGGGGACAGACAGCGGGTAGGTGTCATTGTACCGAGCAGCAGGCAGCTGGCCGAGCCTCCAGTTGTGGGCGTTGGGCAGGGGGGGCCGGCCAGGAGGAGGGCGGTGGGCGTAGAGCAGCCAGAGGACGGCAGCGCCCACGAAGGACGGCAAGATCACCCTCCAGCGGGGGCGGAAGCGGGGGTCCGCGGCCTTGGTCATGGACGCCAGCACGGGAAGGCCCCCCACGCTGATCCGGAGAGAGCGCATAGACTCATTCCATTCCGGGGGGCTGGAGAGCTGGACGGGCATCAGACTGAAGGGCGGGCGGGACCTGCAGCGCAGGGCAGAGGAGACCGGTCACGACCCGCCGGGCACAGCGGCCCGCGTACGAGCGGGCGCACAGCCCAAGGCGGCCTTGTCCAGGCTGGCCGGCGTGGCCACGACTCTGCCATGACTGCTCCCTTGGCTTAAGTAAACCCTGACTCTAGCAGTATCTTTGTTTACTCTTATTCAGCAGGAAGAAAAGTCTTTCCAAAGCAAAATCATTCCATGTCCTCTGTCCCCGCTGGCAAGACAGAAAGCTCAGTGAGAGAAAGTTCTGCGTAAGCTGGTGCTTTGCAATCTTGGGAAAGAGGGCACGTGGCAGGCGGGGAGGTGGGGAGGAGCTGTGAGGGGGGAGGGCGTTGGGCACGACAAGCTATCAGACAGAGTACAGGTCCACACTTTAAGCAAAGGTCACCTAAGCCAGGAAGCCCTCTCTGATGGCTCTGCTCCGGATGGCGGCCTCCAGCCCCTTCCCCACCGGACCTCATGTTACGGTTTATTAATCTGTGCCCCAGCTACTGGAACAGTGCACAGAACAGACGCATGCTGAGTGAGGGAGTTTTTACTTCCTCCTGGGTTACGTTTCTGTGATATTCAAATAAAGCATAAAACACAATCAGCCTAACAGAAATGTGCTGTGCTTAGCTGCTCAGTCATGTCTGACTTTCTGTGACCCCGTGGAGCCTGTCGGGCTCCTCTGTCCATGGGACTTTTCAGGCAAGAATACTGGAGTGGGACACCCACTCCAGGTGATATCACTACTCCAGGTGATATTCCCGACCCAGGGATTGAACCTGCACCTCCTGTGTCTCCTGAATTGCAGAGGGATCCTTTACACGCGGAGCCATCTGGGAAACCCATTCAAATCAAGCCAGAACACAATCAAGCCAGACAGAAACAGTGCAGGTTTTGGCAACATCCGTCCCCTGATGCCTTTCTGTAAAGCAAAAGGCTGAGGGTCCAGAGGTTGACGCGTCCTCATCCCTGGAGCCCCGCCTGTCAGCCCATCAGCTCCAAGGACAGCGTGGCTTGGCCCGGCCTGCTCCCCAGGTGCAGCTGGAGGCCGAGCTCCGGGGCTGGTGGTAGCGGCCAGTAACAGTGGCTCTTGTCTCCAGCACAGATCACGGCAGCACCAGGGGCAGAAGCAGCAGAACACCGGCCCGTAGAACACAAGACCGCTTTCAATCTTGACCTTCAGCTGTAACTTGGCATGTCTCAGCCTGAGAAACGTCCCTTGGGCCACGGAGGATATCTGCTTTGGCCCCAAAACAACTAATGGTTGACCCTGTGTGTAGATGCTCCTCGCTCCGCCAGGTGGCAGCTGGGAAGGGCGTGGGGACTCACACGGGGCCTTGGCAGTTCTGTGAACCGCACCCCCCCCGCCCCCCACAAGGCAGACCATGTGGTCTGGCTCCTGAGATGGAAAATCAAGGCAACAGGCCCACATGGGAAACAGGCCTCCTATCCCCTTGCTTACTGGACAGATTCTTAGGTTCTGGCCACAGGGTCAAGTACAGAAAAGGGACTTCTAAGGAGCAGGTAAGACATGTGGGGCTCTGCGGAATGGCCTCAGAGTCCTCTTCTCCTCCCCTGGGCATGAGCCCCTGACTCCCCTCCTGCCTCCAGGAAGCAGTCCCCCAGTTTGCCACGGAGATGCGAGCCGGTCGCTGGGGACCTCACAGGGTAAGCAGGAGTCCTGGCCCCTCCTCTGGTCTTGCCAAACATGGCTTCAAAAGCACGGCCAGGCCAAAGCTGCCCGCTGTTCACGTCCAGCCTACTGCTGCCACTGAGCTCTCCGTTCCTGCATCTCACCTCCTGGTCAAAATTCTGCCTGGATTTCTGACACACATTCGCCTGCAATTCTTTCCCCAGGAATCGAGGCGGCGATGGCGGATGGCCATCGTCGCAGCTGCCCTGGTTAAAACTTCCATCGAAACCCTGGGAGACACAACTTTCTGTGTGAATACACTTCAACCGAAAGTTATGAGCCACCGCCACCTTGAAAAGCCCAGGTGTGGCCCCGATCCCCCTGTCTGCAGCGTCTGCTCCGTCAGCCCCAGTGACCCGGCCGCCTGCCTCCTCTCCATCGGCTCCCACGGCCCCTTCTCACGGGAACCACGCAGGCGCCCTCCTGCTGCCACCCCCCGCCCTGACACCCACTGGTGCCCCGCAGCCACTGACACCTGCTATCCGAGCCAGTCCCTCTGGCCGTGTCATTTCCTGCTTTGGGAGCAAACCCTCACTAATTACACAACCCCTGCCAACCCCGACCCGTCCCCAGCGAGCCGGCTCCTCTGCCCGCCGACCGACCACCCTTCTACCCCGCGTCCTCCAGACAGGGCTCGCCGTCCTGCCCCGGCTACTGACGGTCTTGCGCGCACCCCTCAGAAGGGCCTCCCTGCCCCTCTACCCCACAGCACACCACATGGGAGGAGTGAGAAGGACACCCACTTCTTGAGCGGCTGAGGCTCCTTGCCCCTGGGCCCCACCTTAGGTACACGCAAACCCCCGGCCCTGGAGCTGGCCGGCCGGCCGAGCTGCCTGCTGTCACAGGGCTGTAGGCGCAGTGGGCAGAGTGCCCGCCAGCGTAGACGTGTCTCCATGGTGATGTGTATCTTCACGGCCCCTGGTGGACTAGTCATTCCTGGGTCGCTGTCCCGGTGTCCCCCCGTCACTCGCTCCCAGCAGACTCTGAGGACACCACCAGCAGCTAGGGCCCAGTGGAGCCCACCCAGCCCCCGGCCCCGTTCCGGGGGAGGACCTCCTGCTTGCTCGGGGTCAGGTCAGCCACGCCTGCTCTGCTGGCTCCTTCTCAGTCTGTACTTGTCCAATCTCCCATCCGGGTCACTGTTCCAGCTCCGGGGTACGCCCGCAGGAACACCAGTAGATGTGAAAGGGTGCCTCTGTGAATGGATGCAGAGCCCACCCTCCCCATCCTGGAGGAGCGCTCTCTCTCCCGTCCTAGCTAGGGTCCACCCCTGGCCCCAGAGACTCCCCACCCACAGACAGGCCTGCTCCTGGGGCCCAGCCTGAGACCCCAGCCCACAGGGGGTCCTGCCAGCAGCAATGGGGACGCCAGTGGTGACCTGTCTGCGGTCCTCCTCCCTGTCTCTCTTCTTGGCCCCCAAGGCGGGCTCCTTCCTCGCCACCCACCGCTTCTCCTTCTGAATCCACACCCTCCCAGCCCGAATGTCTCCCTGGAATCCAGGCCAGGAGCCCAGCTGCTGAGCCTCCCGCGCCTGCAGCAGGTTCCCGCCAGGAAGGCACTGCTGGCCTGGGGCACTCCCAGCCCTCAGGCGCCAGCCTGGGCAGCAGCCAAATCGCTCATACCCTCACATCCTGGCAGGTGCCAGGCCCCCTCACCTGTCCGCACCCCAGCTCCTGATTCCGCACCGCCTGCCCCAGCCTCTACCCTGCTCTTGTCTCACCGTGGCCTCCTGATGACCCAGACCTCTGGGGCCAACCTGAGTTCTGCTGGTTACCAGCCACGTGACCTCAAACAAGTGACCTCGCTCCTCCGGGTCTCCGTCTCCCCACGTGTAAACTGTGCACGTGACCCAGGGCTGCAGCCACCGGGTCAGATGCTGTGGGACTTGGCCCTGACCACCTGCTGCCGTCCAGCGCTTCCCTCCTCACATTATGAGCGCCTGTGCTCAGGCCTGGGGGGCCCAGCTCTGCGGGCGAAGCTGGTGCAGGGGCCGGCCCACTCCTGTGAGCGCCGGGCACGGCCAGAGGCAGGGACTGGACAGCCCGCAAAGCTGAGAATACCCACGCTCTGCTCCCTGAGAGAAACAGACCCTCCCAATCCATCCTCCACACAGCTGACAGAGACTTTCCTGAAAAGTGAATCTTTACCAGCCCCTGCCAAAGGATAAGCTCCTCAGCCTGCATGCAAAGCCTCGCATCCTCGCACACGCTCCCCACGCTCAGCACCGCATTGTCTGTAATCCCACGATCTGTGTGCCAAACACCTGCACAGGATGCTTTCTCCACCAGGCCACATGGACCCACCTAGCAGTTCCTGGCTGTCCTATCCCCCTCCTGTCCTGCGTCTATGTGAAATTCCCGGCCTCCAATAAGCCTCCCTCCTGTGAGGGGCTGACATTGGTCCCAAAGGCAGCCTGGCTGGATCCCAGGACCTGGGACTGTCCCCTTCTATGGCAACAGGGACTGTGCAGATGAGAGCAAGTCAAGGGCCTTGCGATGTCAAGATTACCCAGGTGGGCCGTAAGTGTGATTGTGTCCTCACAGGAGGGAGGCGGTGGGGGATGTGATGGCTGAGGAGAAGACCACGTGACCACGGCCGAGAAATGCATGGGACCCCAAGGAGCTGGAACCGAGGATGCACTGTCCCCTGGTGCCTTCGGCGGGAGCGCGGCCTTGCCCACACCATTTCAGCCCAGTGAAATGACAACTGGCTTCTGGCCTCCGGAACACTGAGGGCACATGTGCTGTTTTCAGCCAAGAAGTTTGTGGTGATATGTGAGACCAGGCCTAGAAACCAACGCACCTGATGCCACCTGCAGGGCCGGGGCTCTGCCATTTCTCCAGGTGCAAACCCGGTCTCAGCCTCCCCACTGTCTGACCCCAGGAGCCCAGGGGTTCTGCTCAGTCAGGCTGGCTCCCAAGACCAAAGGAAGCCTGGGCTTCGATCATGTTTTGTTAAATAAACACTCATTCGATTGCTTTCGGTGACCGGAGAACTCGGGCTGCCTTCCAGAAAACCCCTTCAGCTTCACCACTGAATCAAAGCCCAACCTTGGTGTCCATCCCTCCTTTGGCATCCCGAGGGATTATTTTTATTTTGTAGAAAAAGAAAGTTTCCGAGCAGATTCGTTTTCATGCCGGGCTATGACCCGCCGGCTTATCATCTAAAACTGATGGTGAGCTGCCTGAAGTCTCTTGTTGCTGGAGGTCTGGCTCCAAGAGAGAGCTCTCATTTTCATTAAAAACAAAAACAAAAAACAGAACAAAAACAAAACCCTGCCATCCATGAAAACTAAGAGACAAGCCAGCGCAGGTGAGAGGTGGAATAGACAAAGCCGCTCCCAGAAGGGCCTGCCCCCTGCCCACTCACCTCCTAACACCAGGCAGGTTAAACGTCTGCTCCTACTGTGACAAGACGTCTGTCAACCCCACCACGTGCAGCTCACGCTCAGCGTCTGACTCTGCGGCCTTAAGGACTGTAGCCCGCCAGGCTCCCCTGTCCATGGGATTCTCCAGGCAAGAATACTGGAGTGGGTTGCCATTTCCTTCTCTGGCGGATCTTCCTGACCCAGGAATCAAACCCACGCCTCCTCTCCTGCATTGTAGGCAGATTCTTTACCTGCTATCGTAACGGGTCGATTTTTTTTTTTTTTCCTTCGGGGGGGACCAGCGCGCCCGCCGCCGCGGGCCGCGAGGGGCGGCGGGGGTGTGGCGCGGCGCGCGGCCGCCGGCGGGGCGGCGGGCGGGGAGGGGGGGGAGGCGGGAGCCCCCCGCCCCGACCCGGCGCCCGCGCGCCGCCGCCGACGGCCGGCGGACGCACACACGCACCGCACGCGCCCCGGCCCCGCGCGCGCGGCGGGGGCGCGCCGGCGCCCTGGGTCGATTTTTTTAAAAATTATTTTTATTTATTTGACTGCACTGGGTCTTAGTTGCAGCACGTGGGAGCTAGCTCCCGGATCAGGGATTGACTCCGAGCCCCCTGCATTGGGAGCGCGTAGCCTTAGTCACTGGACCACAAGGGAGGTCCCAGGCTGATTTTATATAACCAGGAAATTGGAATCAAGTTGCTGCAGTCAAAGTCACAAGCTCTTTGGCCGGCCAGGCTCACCTGTTCAGGGGGCATGCCTGCATTTGCTCCTGTTCAGAAACCCTAGGGGACCACACCCCTCCTGGCTTCCTTGCTCCTGTGCTAGTCCCACTGCAACACCTCTGGAAAGACGTCCCTGGGTGTCAAGGGGCAACAACCACCCAGGAGTTTCGAGTCCTGATTTCCTTCTGGGTCCCCTCTCTTTGGGGCGGGTGTCAAGAATGGCTCGTTAACACTCATGCTTTTCTGCTTTCTGTCGAACCAGCACTTCCTTAGAAGACAGGCCGGAAACAGCCAGGTGTGGTGCTGGTGACTATCCACTGGCCAATGGACTCCAGATCCAAAGGAGGCGGCACCAACCTCTTGCTGTACACCCAGGAGGACGCTGCCTCCCCACCCCAGGAGCAGCAACCCCTCTGGGGTCTGGTTACGGTCAAGGAGGACAGGCTCTGATACCCCTACTTCCACGGGCCTTTCATCACCAGACTCTACCAAGGCTTAGACGAAAGTGGGTGGTGACACCGACACCGCCAGGAGCCTTTCTCTGTAGATTCCTTCAGGACAGGGGTGTGACAGGTGGCAGGGCAAACAGGTTCAACGACAGCTGCCAAGGCTACCCGCCCCCCAGCCCCCTTCAGGATTTAGGGAGGCAGGAAGCACAGTGTGGCGATAAGGAGGCCCCTCCCTGCTCCCTGCCGCCCTGGGGGCAGCCACTGTCCTCCCTGGGGAGCAACTGCCTTCCTGGCCCCGCCTCGCTCCTAGAGAGCCCTGTCCAGACGGCAGGCTGGCCTCCGAGTTCCCGCTCTGCTCACTGCCAAAGGGCACTTCCTGGTTAGAAAGTCTAGAGCTCATCTCATTGACATCACTAGACGCCAAGGGTTTCACAGCCCCAGCGAGACAGCATCTCAAAGAATGCAGACGGTGTGTCTCAGCTTCTGGAAAATATGACCTGATTCAAGGCATTCTTCTGTTTCGGACTTGCCAGGGCTTATTACTTTGTACTATTTTAGGCCATTTCGAATGTGGACAGGGTGGACAGTGGAAGGAAACCAGAAGGGAAAGGTCCACAGCAGTCCAGTATGTCCTTTTCAGTTGAGTTGCTCAGTCGAGTCTGACTCTTTGCGACTCCTTGGACTGCAGCACGCCAGGCCTCCCTGTCCATCACCAGCTCCTGGAGTTTACTCAAACTCATGTCCATTGAGTCGGTGATGCCATCCAACCACCTCACCCATTGTTGTCCCCTTCTCCTCCTGCCTTCAATCTTTCCCAGCATCAGGGTCTTTTCAAACGAGTCAGCTCTTCGCATCAGGTGGCCAAAGTATTGGAGATTCAGCTTCAGCACCAGTCCTTCCAATGAATACTGAGGTCAGGGCTGAAACTCTGGGCCCTGCCTGAGTCTGCACCTTCCCCAACTCCTCTTACTTTGTATACAGGCATTCACAACTGTGTGCTGAATCCGGTTACATACAGCTCGAGGTAACCTATTTTTCAGCCCTCTGGCTTGCTTTAAGGTCACTACCCAAGAGGAGTGAGTTTCTTCTGTTGCTGCTATTAACAAATTACCGCAGACTCGGCAGCTTACATACCACAAACTCGCTTTACGGTCTTGGAGGACGGAAGTCTGACATGGGTCTCACTGGGCTAAAATCAAGGGCTGAGTCCCTTCCTGAGGAGCTGGCCTTTCCCAGTTTCTCACGGCTGCCCACGTTTCTTGGCTTCCGGCCCCTTCCTCCACCTTTAAAGCCAGCAACAACGCTGTCTCGCTCTGCCTTTCTGCCGTCACTTCCCTCTGAAGTTCTCTCTCCCTCTTCCGTGTTTAAAGACTCTGTGATTGCTCGATAACCCAGAATGGTTTCCCTATTTTAAGGTAGTGGGTTAACAACCTTAATTCCATCTGCTACCTTAATATCCCCTTGTGAAAGTAAAGTAGCTCAGTCGTGTCTGACTCTTTGAGACCCCATGGACTGTAGCCCGCCAGGCTCCTCCATCCATGGGATTTTCCAGGCAAGAATACTGGAGTGGGTTGCCGTCTCCTTCTCCAGGGGATCTTCCTGACCGCGAGATCAAACCCAGGCCTCCCGCATTGTAGGCACTCTTTACATCTGAGCCACCAGGGAATCCTTAATACCCCCTTGCGCGTGATGTATCTGTAGATTCTGGGGGTCAGGATGTGGACATCTTTGGCGGGGGGCATTATTCTGCCAACCACAAAGAGGGAGACAGAGAAAGAACCTCTGGCTTCTCCCAAGGGGCAGGGCCGTTTGCACACGGCTGGGTCTCCGGGGTGGGCACAGGGTGTCAGGATCATCCACAGTTTGCAGTTACTGCCATCATGGGAGGGCTGCACGTGCTTCAGTTGTATCATTAAAGCTACACTCGGAGGATTTTTGGCAAAAAGTGATCTTTCCAGTTTAAAGTGAGGTGCCGCACACAAAACCACGCATCACTGGGGCTGTTTTCCCAGAGAGCCCACAAATACGAGGACATAATCATCCCATGATCCACCTGAGTCAGGGCTTGCTCCCAGGCAGCGGAGCTGCACGTGTGAGAGCACATCTCCTCCCTGCACTTTTCTCACTGGCAGGTATCCCTGGCACCCACTCAACCCGCGGAGCCCTCCTGTGGGGGCTCCAACCTCACCCTCACCCCCACACCGTCAGTAACCATAACTGTACCAGGTCTGGCCCCATCTGCACACTGCTGTATGGAGCCCTATTCCTGCCTCATTCCCCATGGATTGTTCCTCCAGCTGAACACGAATGGAAGTCAGGCTCTGCTTCAGAACCTGAAGCTGTGACTTCCACTTAATGACTGGACCTACTACAGGAAAACAAGTAGGATAAAAAGAAAAAAAAAAAAAAAGCAAAGGAAACGGGAAAACTGAACACCTTCCCAAACAGATTTCTCTATCACAGGATTATTTTTTTTCTAATTGATCATCTTGGTCTAGTGAAACGGGAAATCAACACAGAGGTCGTTAAACATCAATATGAAAGTTTTCGATTCCCCTAATGTTGGCATTTAAAAAGATCTTTTCAGGAATCTCCACAGTCCAGAGTGTTACTGGAGGGAAAAGTAACATCACTATCTTTTTCCCCGCAATGTCCGAGGTACCGTTCCACAATCATCTGAACGATAGAGAAATGACCTATCACAGTGTAGACCCATTTCAGGACTCCAGACCACATTCCCAGATCTGAGGTACTCTGTTTCTGAAGGAGAACACACTAGAGCATGTGTCCACCTACCCTCCACAGCTGCCACGAGGACCGCCACGTTGCTGCTGGGAAGTCCCGAGACTCAGATGAAAGGGGCGTGTGTGTGGGAGCCCGCAGTGCTCACCTCAAAGGCCACATTCAGGGAGTGGGGCGGAAACAGCCGCTCCTCCTGCACCCTGGGTCCCGCCTCCCCACCTCTGTGGCTCCGGGAGGCTGGGCACACCCGCGGGGTGCATTCAGACTGGCAGGTAAGAAATCCCTCAAGTATCGACAGCTTAAACACATCACTGCTATGGGCTATGAAAATAAGGGGTGAACTACATTTGGGTAACATCTTTACGGGGAAGAAAGCAGACCCTCAGCTAACAGAAGGAATGGAACGATCATACTTGCCTGAAGGGGATTTCCTCCACCACCCTGGGACGTCACAGTGCCTTGTGAGATCAGGTTAACTGGGACAAGAAAAGGTGAGAAGACAGAGAATCCTGGCCCCAGACCACTGCAGAGGCCGCGGACAGCGCCTGACCAACGCCTCTGGCCTGAGTCCTCTCCCAAAGACGCTCTCAGGACAGAACACCCCTACCAAGTGCCGAGGGAGTGGCTGGCTGGTGGGCGAGCCTCTCAGCCCGAATAGAGGGTTTATTGAGGCCAGCCGGGAGGCGCCCCAGGGGCAGGCTGCTTGCTGGCTGTTCTGGGAGGAGCCCTAGCGAGCCCACAGGCTCAGGCTGGGCTGTTCCACCGGCAGGCCTGTAGGGTGAGGCTGGGGGCTGGAGGAAGGCCCACAGCCCAGCCCAGGAAGATTTTTCTCAATCAAGCTCCTCAAAGGGAGAGGAGGGCGAGGCCCAGAGACCCCAGGGCTCCTAAAGGGCTGCAGCACCCGCTTCCTTTTCATGGACCCCCGGAGACCCTGTGCTTTTGTTAAGGTCTGGTCCTTAGAGAGGCCAGTAAGATTCACTCGACCTCAGCAGATGCGGGCTCCCACATCTACAATTTGCTCAGAATTGGGTAGGAGAAGATGTCAAGCACATACCCTGAGGCAGGCACAGGAACCAGAGCTGGAGTGCTAAGAGGCACCTGTCTCCGGCGGGACCCAAAGGTGCCTGGGAAAAAGACGTGTGCGGCAAACGGAAGGGGGCCTGCCAAGCCTAGGGACGCGAGGGCAAGGGTCACGACAAGCCACAGGGATGGGCAAAGCGCCTGTCCTTTTTAGGAATGGAGCCCATCCTGACCAGAAGGTGGGGAAGGGAGGGGGAAGAGGGGGCAGGGCAGACAGTCTGGGTGCAAAAGGAAAGAGGGGAAGGAGAGGAAGGCCTGCTGGGGTGGGAGACGCTGACCTGCTGCAGGTGTGACAAAGTGCCAGTCAGAGAGGGGAGGGGTTCCCTAACTGGTCAGGAGAAGCCTTGCAGAGGTCAGAGAGGCTGGTAATGAAACCACAGCGGGCAGGAGAGGGTTGTCCTCAAGGGTAGTTAAGCCTCAGGAAGGGAATGCATCCTCCAGGCTCAGAGGGGGTGATGTCCCAGCCTAGTCCGAGGGGCCAGGAGTCCTGCAGTCAGAGGGGGTGGTGGGCCGCGCCAGTCACAAGGTGGGACGAGTCCCCCAGGTGAGAGGGGGTCGTCCTGCAGTCACACGAGGGAGGTATCTCCTAAGTCGGAGGGGGGAGGTGTCCCGTAGGTCAGAGGAGGTAAGAATCTTACAAGTCAGAGGAGAGGGAGGCGTCCCACCCTAGTCAGCGAGTCAAGGGGGGCGGGGGCCCCGTTCAGGGAGAAGGGGATGGAGCCTGCAGGGTCGGAGGAGGGACGCGGCGGGGTCGGAGCGCGCAGCAGGCGCCGGCGAGCCGCCGGCAGGCCGTCACTCACCCGGTGCGGTCTGGCTCCGGGGCCCGCGGGCGGCGGGGCCTCGCTGCGGGTAGCGCCGGGGACCCAGCGGGCGGCCGACTTCCGCCCGGCGCACTCGCCCCGCCTCCCGGCAACACGCTCCCGGCAGCCCCCGCTCCGCGGCTGCGCGCCGACGCCCACGGCGGGCTTCTGGGAGTTGTGGTTTTTTTTTTTTGCTGCTCAGCCAGCAGGTCCACGGGGAGGAGCCGCTCGCTGGGAGGGGCCCCGAGGGCAGTGTGCTCCACCCGCAGGCCCTTTTCGGCCAGTTATTCTGGAACTTTGGCCTAAATGGAAGTTGGGGGGGTGGAATGTAGGCTATGAGGAAGGAGTTATCATTCCTTCAGCTGAGATTGTAGAATCCCTCGCCTAGAGGCAGGGAAGCTTGGGCCCCTTTCTGCAACCCTATCCGCCTGCATGGATCCCTGGAGAAGGAAATAGCAACCCACTTCAGTATTCTTCCCATCCCCCTCCGTCCCCCGCACGCCCAACTCCTTATTCTTTAGGGCTTCCCAGGTGGCGCTAGTGGTGAAGAACCTGCTTGCCAGTGCACAAGACCTAGGAGATGCATGTCCGATCCCTGGGTCTGGAAGGTCCCTTGGAGGCGGGCATGGCAACCCACTCCAGTATTCTTGCCTGGAGAATCCCATGGACAGAGGAGTCCGGCGGGCTACAGTCCGTGCGGTGGCAAAGAGTGGGACATGACTGAGCAACTAACACTTTCCGTTTCCGAGAGCCCCTCTCCTTGACTCTTCTAATCAGCCACATCGGAATGTTGATCGTTTCCAAAGAAAAGGTTCGGGCACAGGGCTACAGGCAGTAGTGTCCTGGGAATGGGGTGGAGGTTTGCCTGCCACTGATTTGCAATCAATGAACCCTCTCCCAAATGAGGGTCTCCGATTTCATCCTGTTTTTGCCAGTCTCCTTCCCAACCCCCAGACTGTTTTCTTGGAAGTGTTAAAAGGGATCCTGGCCCTACATTCCCAAGTCCTGCAATGTGCCTGTTTTAGAAATCCTGAAAAAAGCCTGATAGCAGTGGCACTTCACCCAAGAGCTGGGCTAGGAGGGTGCCTCAGCGCTCTATCTGCACCTGATTCAGTCTTTTGGTGCCTGCAAACACCCCTGGGCCTCTTCAGAGCTTACAGATGCACAAGGGAAAAATTCAAATTATATTAATGGCGCACAGTGAAAAACAATCCCCACCCCCCACTACCCTGTTTGGCATTCCCTGCTCAGAGGCAATCACTATTACTCGTTTTTTGTGGAGCTTTTTTATGACACACAGACTGATCATAAACACATATATTAAATTACCTTTTAAAAAATGCAAATGTGCTAAACATGGTTCTGCCTTTTTTTCGGGTGGGGGGACCCTTCTTGAATTCATTTGTTTCCTATCATGCTAAACTGAATCCTGGCCATACACCATATTTGTGTTTGTTCAGTTGCTAAGTTGTGTTTAACTCAGGAGGACTGCAGCACGCCAGGCCTCCCTGTCCTTCACTATCTCCTTGACTGGCTGTGCTGTGCTCAGCTCTGTTCGAGTCTTTGCGACCCCATGGACTGCAGCCCACCAGACTCCTCTGTCCATGGTATTTTCCAGGCAAGAATATTGAAGTGGGTTGCCATTTCCTCCTCCAGGGGATCTTCCTGACTCAGGGATCGAACCTGCGTCTCTTGAGTCTCCTGCATTGGCAGGCAGATTCTTTACCACTGAGCCACATGGGAAGCCCCTCACTATCTCCCAGAGTTTGCTCAAACTCATGTCCATTGATTTTTCAGTGATGCAATCCAACCATCTCATTGTCTGTCACCTACTTCTCCTCCTGTCCTCAATCTTTCCCAGCATCAGGGTCTTTTCCAGTGAGTTGGCTCTTCGCCTCAGGTGGCCAAAGTATTGGAGCTTCAGCCTCAGCATCAATCCTTCCAATGAATACTCAAGGTTGATTTCCTTTAGAATTGAATGGTTTGATCTCCTTACTGTCCAAAAGACTCTCAAAAGTCTTCTCCAGCACCATATATATCATATATATTATTATTACTTTAAATTCTTCAAATCTTTTATTTATTAAGATATCTACATATATATGGGGCTTCCCTGATAGCTCAGTTGGTAAAGAATCCACCTGCAATGCAGGAGACCCCAGTTCAATTCCTGGGTCAGGAAGATCCCCTGGAGAAGGGATTGGCTACCCACTCCAGTATTCTGGGGGTTCCCTGTGGCTCAGCTGGTGAAGAATCTTCCTGCAATGCAGGAGACCCTGGTTCGATTCCTGAGTTGGGAAGATCCACTGCAGAAGGGATAGGCTTCCCACTCCAGTACTCATGGACTTCCCTTGTGGCTCAGACAGTGAAGAAACCATCTGCAATGCGGGAGACCTGGTTTCAGTTCCTGGGTTGGGAAAATCCCCTGGTGAAGGGAATGGCTACCCACTTCAGTATTCAGGCCTGGGTCGCGAAGAGTCGGGCACCACTGAGTGACTTTCACTTTCACAATGTATCCCTGAACAATATATATGCCTATTATAACTTTTACAACAAGAAATAAAACTATGCAGTGGATGAGAGATCAAGTCACTCCAGAGATATTATCAGGTTATTAATTTTGCCAACTATGGCATTAAATATCTTCTCTGGGATAGTGTCTGAGTACTGAGAGGTTGTATATCATGTATTTTGGTCACTTCTGTTTCTTCTTCTACAGATGCCCCAATATCTCATTGGTGTTTTTCAGAAAATAATCCTTTTCCCATTGATATATATGCAATGCCTGTTTGGTCATAGATCAAGTTTCCATATATACGTGGGTCTGTTTGAGGGGCTTTCTATTAGGTTGTACTGGTGTAATTTTTCATAGTAGCTCCACTACCACTGTCCTCATTAGTGCCTCTTTTTAATAAGCATTTATATGTTGTAGGACAATTCCCCCCTCCCTCCCACAACATCCAGCCCACCCCAGCTTTTTAGGATTTTGAATGGAATTGCTTTGAATATGTAGATTAATTGGGAGAGAATTGAAGTTTTTATGGTGATGAGTCTTTTACCCAAGAACATGGTTTGCCTTTCCATTTACTGAGGTCTTCTTTAATGTTTTTCAATAAAGTTTGTAATTTTTCACCTCACATGAATGCCTGTTCTATATCGTTACATAGCGAGTGGCTTCATTCTGTAAGGAGCCACATGCTATCTGCTGTGTGGATGTTCTGTAACTTACTTTACCAGGCCCTTAAAGATGTCATTTTAGGTATCAATGATCTTTCTGCATTACAGCAATGCTTTGGGGGCATATCCCAGAACTTACTTATTGGAGCCCAATTGTAAGTATATCTGCGGGATAAATTCCTGGAAGAAAGATGACTAGGTCAAAGGGGATTTGCATCTTCTGGTGAATAGATACTACTTTCCCAGAAGGCTGTGGCATGAAATTGCCCTCCTCCCAGTCAGCAATCATGTACAACCAGGTTTTTCTTTAATTTTCATTGTCCTTGTCTTCCTTGCATCATAGGAGACTTCACCGCGACCTCCTGGAAATTCTCTCCTCCTTTGATTTCTGTGGCTCTGCATGAAAGACTAAAAAATTCTTCACTTTAATTGTTCATTCATGTGTCTACTTATTCATTCATGGTGAAAGGCATAGAATTGTGCCGTCCACCAGAGGGCCTCCTATTTTGTGCATCAAGTAAAATAGTCTTACCTAACTGGTCTGTCTAGGACTCTTTCTTGGTAACTGAAAGTGCTAGGAAATGGGAGTAAGCATTGAGAGATGGAGAAACTGAGGCATGGGGCATTAAGTGGCTTGATTAGAGTCAGGAGGCATATAAAAGACAAAGACGGCGACTGTATTTTTCTATCCCTTACTGCCCAACTTGGCGTGGAGTTCTGAGGGGACTCCTCCTTTGAGCGGGCGTGTCTTCTCCAGGTCTGAAGATCACTCACAGATTAGCCTGTTCCATCCTGGCAGCTATCAGTCTGACTCCCACCTGCCCCGGAGCCTTCCAGAACACGGGCAGTGCCATCCAGGAGCAATGAGGGTGGGCCAGCAGCCAGGGAAGCTGGGTCTGGCTGCCAAGTTTCCATCTCAGCTCCTTCTCCAGATCTCCATGGAATCTCTCCCACCCCACTCCCTTGGCCGTGGGACACCACCACCGGAGCCTGCCTGCCTTTCCTTACCGTTTGGAACAGAATTCAAAAGTTTGCAATACCGATCTCTGCCCTTGAGACTGGGATGGCTGGGCAACCCGGCCCAAAAATAGCTGGGAGAGGCCTCAGTGGGAAAAAAAATCACAGAGCTGCTAATAACAGGCTTTGCTTATCTAGAGCTGCGCGTCTTGCAGACGTTAACTGAGGTCATGTAGTTTTTTCCAAGGAGGAGAAAACAGTGAGCATCGTGACGTGCCCGGGGAGAGAGAAGGATTGCCAAACCAGGGAGTGCACAGAATGTGCTGCCTCTGGGCAGGGATTCCGGGCAGTGTGCTCCCCTCCCCCCACCGGGAGCCGCTGGGTTTTACATCCCATGAGCAACCCGTGTCTGAGAATGCGGAGCCACTTGGGAATGTTCAGGAAAACTTTAGGAGTTTGGCCCAGACATCCTTGTGTAGGAGGTGCAGGCTCCTAGGGAATTCCAGGATGGGCGTGGTCTATGGCTCCTCTAGGAACCTAAGAGACCTCGATCCCGTGGGGTGGAGGGTCATCATTCTGGTTGGCCTTGGCCTCTGACCCATCACAGGGCTGATGAACTCTCCCCCAGGCATGACTGCTGGCTTTGAGTTCTGATTTGTTAGCTTTTTTTTTTTTTAACCATCACTCTTGTCCTAGCCCTGGCCCAGACTGTCCTAGGGGAAGATATTTGCTGAACTGAGAACATTCTGCCCTGGTTGCTCTGGGTGGGGTTGGGGTGGGCTGGGGGAGGCAGGCTATAGCCACGATGGAGAGCATCAAGCATTGCCAAAATCTTTACTACTTACCACTTTAAGGAAATACCTGACAAAGGGCACAAAGGCCCCGGCCAGCTCCGTGTTTGCGTGACATAATATTTCTTTGCTTAAGGGCAGACTTTGCTTTCTCTGGGAGCGTAGACTTTCAAATCTTTGCCCAGTTGTCTGTTGGCTTGGGTTGTGGGCCCCGATGGCACTACCCAGCGTGTACACAGACTTTAGTTCCTGTTCTCCGGAACTTCTCACGCCTCAGAGTCTTCTGTTTCTCATGAATATCTTGGGAAACCCCAGGCTCTTGTTGCCACATTTAATATCAACACACCCACCCCCCAGTTTCTGCCTCAAAAAAAAAAAAAGTGTAATCTCTTTCTAACTCTTGGGAGATTTGGGGGCTCAAACCAACAGGAAAGAGGGAAGAAGATCATTCTTGTAATGACAGTTATCATGAATATTCTCACACTTGACCCCAAATCCCCCCAATACAAAACATTCTGAAAACACAGTGTTCACCTAAATTTGGCATGAAAAAATTTGAAAGAACAACGTGATTTAAAGTATTGTGAGACTATGCATGTCTTTCCTTTATCCCACTAAAGACGACACAAGTGTCTGATGAAGGGGCACCACCTGAAGCCCACTGGGTAGGATGCTTGTGACGGTTGCATTGTACTCCGGACACATCTGTCTTCGCAGGTTCCAGGAAGAGACCCTGGACCTGGCTCTGCTTTATAGACTAACACCCATCGAGGTAGGGCAGCATCCCCTGGTTGCAGACTCGAAGCCTCCTGTTAGGATAAGCCAACTGCTGCTGAAAGGGACGGTCCTTCTTTCGCTGTATTTCTAGAGTTCTGCTCTATATTGGACCTCTGAATTCATGTCTTGGAATGATCTTAGAGATAACTGTCTTTTAGTTCTTTGACACCAAAGCCATCTTGCATGGAGGCAAAAGGGAACAAACCTTCCATCTCCATGTCTGTTTTTCTTTCAAGCTGTATGCCCAACTTCATGCACATTGAATTCTGGTATTGGTCCAGGAATTTCCCAGGTCTGAGTCTCCTAGGCAGGACAAAGGAGAGCTTTCCCATTGCACTCAGGGGGTTCCCAGTTCACAGGAGTTCTGAGAAAGACCTGAATCCTCTAACGTCCAGGAAGAACCCACAGGGGCTGCATGAAGATGTAGCCTACTGGCCTCTTCAATTACTGCCATCTCCCTGCTTTGAAGGTTATTCGAGGACAGAACAACTAGAGGAAGGTCAGTGGGTGTGCTGGCCTGGGGTCTTGTTGACTGGGAAGTGTCCTCGGGTTATGCACGGAACGAAGACGAGCTTATCTCTGGGTTTTCCTGTGTGGATAAGCTACCAGGGATGTAGGGTTTGCCAAGTCTCAGACACATGCCAAAGATCGTGAGCAGTTCTGAGTCTTCTAACGCCAGCTGAAATAAAACCATATCTCCAGGGGAAAAGCATTTACTTAATCTTTCCATGGTGTCCTTGAAGTTCTCCAAGGCTACGGAGGATCAGGGCCACTCGTGCCTTTGCTCCCACAGAAGTGAGTTGATGGCCGGGGTCTCTCCACTACCCAGAGCCCCTCTGTCTTCTTCCATCGCCACCATTCTCAGCTCGCCCTGGTGAGAAGGTGTGCCGGGTGCATGTCAGAAATGCACTCCCCTCCTCCTCTCGTTTTGATATCTTAGCTTTCCAGGCAGACACGTGGAGTGCAGAGGTGGAGAAGAAATTCCAAGCCGAGGAAGAGTGAGACTCAGTCTCTCTGCTTTGCCCCGAGCACTCCAATCCAGCATCCTTGCCTCTACATCTCCTGTCTGAGTAGAGCCAGTGGGAGAGGTCCTGGGAGGAGTGATCACAAAACAAAAAGTGCAGGGAGGACATCCAAACAGATTGGAGAGACCGTGGGAGACGGGGAGAAACTCCTCCCCCCCAAGTTTTATCATCACAACAGAGTTGTGTTTCTCAAGACAGATTGTTCCACTTCTCTTGATATGATAAGATGCTAGAACTATCTCAGACTTTGGGGATGGAGACGGGCTAGACCAGGGGCAGCTCTTGAGAAGCCTAGGGCAGTTGTCAGGATGCAGGGAAGGGGGAGGGGGGCAAAGGACGCTGTTGCAAAAGAACTTTTTTATAAGATGGAGAAAATGTCTGTTTTTCATATCAAGGAATGAAAGGCCCGATAGAGACTGAGAAACGCTGACATCCCTGCTGGCCCCACCCTGGCTCACATGTCACCCAGAAAGTCTGCACCCCCAGCCGGGGTTCTTAACCTTTGGATCACAGCCTCCTCTAAGAATCTGATCAAAGTATTAGACCGTCAGTTTCCAATAACACCTGTGTGTGCACACGCATGGGCACACGTGCCATTTTGCATTCTCTTTGGGAGTTCACAGATTCCCTCAAACCTGTCGGTGGCCCCTGGACCCCAGCTGGATGTCTCGGGTCTGCCACCATCTGGGAACCGATGGGGGTGGGGTGGCTGCAAGTGTCCCTTGAGCGCCTTGGAGCGCAGCCCCCTGCCACCCAGCAACTCTGGGAGTTCCCAACCCTCCTTGTCCTGGACCCCTGGCCACCCCCACACCAGGAGGGACATGCAGACCCTCAGAGCCCCGCCCCCACTGGCCAGTTCCCAGCCCTCCGGCTCCCAGGGTGGCCAGGGGGAGGGCAGCGCGGGCGCTCCCCCCGGGCACACACACAGTTAATCCTCTGCGGCTGCTGTTTGGATAAAATGCGCTGGGAGCGTTCGAGGCTCCGCGGCCGCTCACATCTGGCCGGGATTTGCTCCTTACACGTCTGTCCCGCTTTCTTCGGCTCTTCCTCTACTTTCGAGAAACCGCGTTTCCGCTTCTGGCCAGAGACCTCGGAGTCCAGGCGATCCAGGTGCTGGGAAAGGGTCGGCTGCTGCCTGCGCCACCTCCGCTCCCACCCCCCTCCCCCGCCAACTTTCGGGGCCCTCTGTTCCGGAGGACTCTTTTTTTTTTCCCTTCCTGCTTGCTCTCTCCTTCGACAAGTCTGGTCGTCCCTCGACCTGGCTGGGAGGAGGCTCCGCCGCTGGGAGATGCTGTAAGAGAGGCCGCGGAGAGAACGCGGGCGCCCCGCTCGCTCCCGGACGCCGGTGGTTGGCGGTAGGTGGCCTGGTGGGCGGGGTGTGTGTGCGGGGCAAGGGCGGTGGGGCCCGGAGCTCCTTTTTCTGGTTTCAGCATACTCAGAGAACCGGTACCTTGAGCGGGGCGGGCAGCGGGCAAGGAGCGTGGTGGGAGGGGTCGGGGGCACTTGTCGCCAAGAGGCAGAAAGACAAGTTGCGGGAAGGGTCCGGTGCGGGTTCCTGCTGCTGCCTGCCTTGGTGGAGATGCCACGGAGAGCCGTGGCCGTGGTCTCCCTCTGTGACCAGGAAGCAGGAGGCTCCGTGGCAGATGCTGCTGGGAATGACTGGTTTTGTTTGTTTGTTTTCGTCCCTAAGTGGTGTCTGACTCTTTGCGACCCCATGGACTGTAGCCTGCCAAACTCCTCAGTCCATTGGATTTCCCAGGCAAGAATACTGGAGTGGGTTGCCATTTCCGCCTCCAGGGGATCTTCACGACCCACATATGGAACCCGCGTGTCTTGCATTGGCAGGCGGATTCTTTACCACTGAGCCACCTGGGAAGCCCCTGGCAATGATTGGACCTCCCTTGATTTTTGTGGCATGTTTACATTGCTTCACTCTTCTCGGGATGTGAAAAGGAAAGGAATGATACCCAAGTCGCCCCTACTTCTGGTGGGGAGCCCCTGCTCCAATAGCTCCTGGCTCACATGAGAGCCAGCCTTGCCTGTGGGCAACTTGGACCCCATACAGAACAGGGAATGCTGACTTTGGCCCCTGCATCTAATGGCTTTGGTGTTCCTGGAAGGGATCCAGTCTGGACAGGAAAAAATAATGTCCCTTTCCCGGGGACCCTCTGGTCTGCCGGCACCATGAAGGTGGCCCTGGTTGGGGCTGGAGTCACTGAGCTGCCCTTAAGCCTCCGGACAGCACATGCCTCTTGGTGCAGCACCAAGTGCCAGGCATCTCCGTAGCACCGGTGTTAGCCCACCTGTCCAGGGCACGCATGTCATGTGAGCCTGGGCCCCGCCGTGCACGGCTGCTGTGTCTTCCCTGGGACCCCAGCATGCTTCAGGCTGACCCCCTCGGGAGGGAGGACTGCTCTGTGACTTGTTCCTGTCTCTTCTCTCTTTCACTTGGTTTCTAAGAATGGAGGCAGTTTGGCACACTAGGAGTTTCCTCCTTCCAAGCTTTGAAAATGGGGAGTGTCCTGAGAAACTGAGTTTTCTCAACCGCCAGCTACATCCTGGGTCCCTGGGGGGAGGATGTGAGGTCCTCAGAGGCTGCTGGGCCTTTGCTTTTTATAGTTCGGGGAAGCACGCGGACAGCCCCACGTGCAAGGTCACACATAGAGGCACTTGACTATGTGTGCTGCCAGGAGAGGCTGGGGAAGAAGTACATGCTCCATGAGGCCTGCTCACTGTCCCTGCTGACCAGAGAGGCCGGAAACACACAGGTGAACTGTGTTCACACAGGGGGACTGAAATATACAGGTGAAGGGGAGATGGGGGACTGAAACATACAGATGAAAGGGAGATGGGGAACCAGAGGGTTGAGCTGTCCTCTCCCCCCCACCTTCTCTACTCTCCTTCTTAACCTGAGCGCTAAGAGGAGCTTAGGGATGACCCAACAATAATAGTAGCAATATAAATGATGATAGCGCACGCGCGTGTGTGTATGTGTGTGTTTCCCACACAGTAAGCAATGAGCAAATGCTGATTCTCAACAATTCTACCAATGGCACTGTCATCCCTGATAAGCTCAGAGAGACTGTGGCTTGCCCAGAGGCAGTAGGTGGAGGACCCGAGGCCTGCATCTCTGTGCCCAGAGGAGGGATATGACTTGCTCAAGGATGTGCAGCTTTCCAAAGAGATGCTGGAAAACCTAAGCTTCTCAAGTTTGCAGATTTCCACTTCCCAGCTGCCCACAGAGAAAGTTCCTTGGGGCCAGGACAGCCAGGTTCTACTTCCCAGGGACTCTGGCCCTCTCCTCTGAATCTCTCACTCCCCCTTCCTTCTCTCACCTTGAGTCTCTTGGGATGCCAAAGTGAGCAGCGGGTCAGGGGGACAGAGAAATGCAAGTGCTAGAGGCCTTAGATGGACTGTCTTTCAGCCAGAGGACACCACTGCCCGTCTGGGGCAGGTGCAGCCAGCCAGCGAGGGGCACGCTTGCAGGTGGGAGCCGAGAACACCGACATGGCCCCGGGAAGCCTGCAGGCAACTCCCGCCTCATTCCTGAGATGTAACCTCCCTATTCAGGGCAACCAGCACAGCATAATTCTTTTGGAACATGCTTCTTTCTGTTGTTCTTCCTGGTGCCTCTCTCCCTTCCCTCCACCCGCGCCCCCCCCCTCCCAGCTGTAATTAGCATGACTCATAAACCAAGTATTCTGGCATTGAACTTTACCCATCAAAACAAAGATGAAAAGAATTTCATAGATACAGTCGTGCTGCTGGGCACCCTCACTGGATGTGAGCTTGTCATTGGGTTTTTGTCTTCCTGGGCCGGACCCTTGTGTGGGCCCCTGTACCCGGAGCTGGGGGTGGCTGAGGCTCCAGGATCGTGGGCGAGAGGTGGTAGTTTGCAATGTAGAGGAAGAATAGAAAGTTTCCCTTCTATTATGGTCCCCACATTCTGCTGACAACTTAAGGTAACTCTGCCTGCTCAGCCACTAGAGAGAGAAATGGTTGTTTTGGAAGCAACCTTGTCCCCCCGCTCTGAGAGCCCAGCGACCTTCAGTGGGGGCGATGGCATCCCAGGACACTTCATCTTGGTGGTTTAACTACCGCGTGTGCTAAGGCTAATTATTTTCTTCCCGTTTTTACCTGCTGAAGTCTGCCTTCTCGTAAAGTCAAATGAGACAGGGCAGCTTCCTGGATGGGACTCTCGACATCTCCTTGAACTGACCTCTCCCACAGTGCGAGGGACCACCTGCTCACATAGAGAAGGATTTGGAAAAGGACCATCAGAGCCTGAACAGGTGCTTCCTTCCATGCTCTTGGGGTAGCCCAGGGAGCTGGTCCCCTGGTTCCCAGGATTCAGGATCCCTGGGGTCCTGCCTGGGCATCCCCGGCCTGGCAGGACCAGTTCTGCACGTAACTACGGACATGCAGAAGCGGGCACGCTGGCTCTTCCCCTCCTCCTCAAGCCCGTGGTGAAACTTTTGCCACTGCGGCCTGTGACCTCTGACCTTCATCTTCCTGCCTCTTGGAGAGTGGCTCGGTGCCGTGAGCAGGCGTGGGAGCTCTTGAGACCTTTGGGGGCATCTTTATCCCTGGGTCCTCGTCAAGGCTGCAACCGAGCAGCGCCTGAGCAATTGGAGGCAGAAGCAACTCTCAGACCCTGTGAAGCAGCTCGTCCTTGCCCACGCTTGCTTCCCAGGACTGAGCTTAAAACGGAATGGGCGTGGGAGGCCCCCACTGCCCACTCAGCTGTCCCCGGCCTGCCCCTGCCCAGGGGCCTTTGGAGTGAACCCCTCTCCAGCTGTGGACTGCACAGGCAGTCCTGTCCCGGCTTCCTGTCCCATTCAGGATGGCCATCAGGAGCGCTTTGGGCCTGCCTGCTCCTCCATGTCTGACCACTTCCCTGCCTGACCACCACCCTGGCTCGTGTAGAAATTTTCGTTGAAATGAGACGGAGCAGGGCAGGAGGCTAGCGGCAGGGCCCAGGATGGGAAGGGAAGCAGACAGGCGGGCCGGGCCGTGGGGCTGTGGGGAGCCTGTGGACACCAGGTTCATGCTGCCTTGTGCTGGGCCTGATGTTGCTGTTGGCCACTGGTGGATCCCACTTGGGGGATGGCCCCAAACCCTTTGCCTCCTTTGCACCCCCTCCCCAAGTGGGGACATCTGGTTACCAGCCGCCCTCTGCCCTGGGGAGCAGCAGAGGAAAAGAGCCTCGCCTGGGAAGGCTGCCAGCACTGGTGGAGCGCGGGCGGGTGCAAACCAGACGTTGGTTGGGCTGGGCTCTGCCCCTCTGCCTGCAGGTTCTGAGGCTGGTGGTCAGGGTGGGTGACTGGGGTATGCTCGGAAACACTTGGGCTCTTTCTGCTTGTGAGGAGTCTGAAGTGAGTTCTGGTGAGAGATGGGTGCATCTGGGTGGGGTTCGGAGTGGCCTTGGCTCTCAGGTTTTCCAGCATTCAGGACATCTATCCCCCACCTTCCACTTCTCCCCACCGCCTTTTTTTTTTTGGCTGCACAGTGCATCATGCAGGATCTTAGTTCCCTAACCAGGGATCAAACCCATGCCCTTCGCAATGGAAGAGCACAGTCTTCCACTGGAGCACCAGGGAAGTTCCCTTCCTCCCTCTATTTAAGACATAGTTATGAGAACAAGGGGCTTCCCTGGTGGCTCACGTGGTAGAATCTGCCTGCAATGTGAGAGACCCTGGGTTGGGAAGATCCCCTGGAGAAGGATCTGGCTACCCACTCCAGTATTCTTGCCTCGAGAATCCCATGGACAGAGTAGCCTGGTGGACTACAGTCCATGGGGTTGCAAACAGTTGGACACGACTAAGCGACTCACACTTTCACATGAGAACAAGACCCATGGTTCTGTAATCTGGGTAGACTCATGAGGAAGAGACCCTGAGAATGTCCCCCATGGAGCAAGCAGAGCCAGGCC